TCTGCTGGAGACGGTCTCCAGCAGACCAGGGGCACCGGAGCAGCTTACGAACGGGGCTTTCTCGCCCCGACTTCCGGGGCGAGAAAGCCCCATTCGTAAGTGCGGATCCGACGTAAGTCGGATCCGCGTAAGTCGGGGACTGCCTGTATTAATTAAAGGCCTGTTTTGTTGTTCAATAAGTCGTAAACAATTTCATGTTTAAAATGAAATGTCGTGAGTTGTGCATAACTCAGTTTTTTAACTTTATATTTTGAAAACAGTGGATATGTTCAACTTTGAACAGTTTCATGTTAAAACATATTATTTACTTTTAAAACCGCTATTTCTCAAGAAACATATACCTGCATTTAGATTTTCCTCAATGACCATTTGCTTTTTATAAACACTCTAAATTCTTATTTACAAAATAAATGTTAATAACTGTAAGGGCCTTCCTTATACTACTCCCATAGAACTCAATCCAAAAATTCCCATTAACTCCAGTACTGGACTCTAAATTAGGTGTTAAAATCTATGTATCAGTTCTGCCACCCTTATGCTGAGTAAAACCTGATGGTAGGAGTCAATCCTTTGATTTCAGTGGCACTGCTTGTGAAGTAAGGCACTGCGCTGCAGGATTCTAGGTTGCAGCATTGGGCCCTATTCTTATAAACACAATTTTTAAAAGGAAGTATTAAATTTTTTAAGTTTTCTGGTTCCCACTTGCTTGTGCTATGGGTGTGCTGTGATGCTCAACAACCAGATTTTCGTTTACATTCTCATTTACATGACAGACTTTGTTTTTGAATTAGCACGTAAACAATTAAGGAAACGAATGGTATATATTTATGTTTGAATAATATTCCTAAAATATGGGAATTTCAAAACTCAAACTAAAATACTTTACTTTAACTCATTATGTCTGGTTATCACAATATACTACCGAAAAATCAAAATCCTCCATTGTTTGATGATATGAAAATATCAAGGCATAACGTGATGGTATATTATTGTTGATTATCATAATCTTACATTTAATAATTGTCTTTCGTTCCTGCTTTATAAACTGCGTGGCCCAATCATCCCTGCTCTAATAAGACTTAGGCTCTGATTATGCAAAAATGTATGAATAACTATAAATTTAGCACTGTGCAAAGTGCCAGTGAACTGAGTATGGGACTAACTTTATGCGTGGTTGGCAGTGCCATGTTAACTTCAGTGGGACTACTCACAGCACATAAAATTAAGCATGTGCATCAGTGTTTTGATAATCAAGCCTTGCACCATAAAGTACATGGGATTTTTACCTGAGCAAGGACCTCAGGATTGGACCATGTGTGAGTACAGGAAGCATCACCAGCAGAGATGATCAGAGGATAACAATTTTGTTTTGTGGCAACTTTTGAGATTTCAAAAATATTTGTCTTTGTTCTTCTTTTGTTTTGGGAGAAAAGCCTTTGGAATGTGTTCATGATAATGGCATTGTGTCAGGAGGATGTATGTGTCTGGATGGGTAGAACTGGGATGTTTAGGTCCCTTCTCTGCTTGATTCAGAGCAGAGTTTTCCATCCCAAATCCTGGGTACCTAGGTCTTCCAAAATCAAGGCCTAACTGTATGCACCAGCATCCCCGCATCCTCCTTTCATGAAAATGAGAGGTTTTGTTTTGAAACTTCATAATTTGCCATAAAATGGAATCCTCACTCTTCAGTCGCCTCTACTGGTGACGTGCCCCATTTGTTCCAACCAGAGATCATCACAAAAGCTATTTAGCCACCTTTGAATAGAGAGGTGGCAGTTTAGCAAACAGGAACATACGAGTGCTCAGAGGGGAATAGTGTTTTAGCCATGATTCAGAATCTATTGGCTTTAAACAATATCCTTACCAATTTTCCTACCCTACAAACAAATCTGTAGTCCTTAAGTGAGCAAAACGCCTATTGCAGTCAGTGGGAATTTTGCTTGACTAAGGAGCACAGGATTTTGCACTTAGTTTTCATGAGTCTCTTCCTGAATTCTGAAGCTGGAAATATAGCCAAAGAAAGAAATTTAAATAGAATCTGATCAATCTGATTTGGAGGCGTAAGAGCTTCATGTTGGAATTGCATTAAAAATCTTACAAAACTGAACAATTTTAAAACAAATATAAAGAGGATATCCGTTCAGTTTGTATGCAATGGAATTTTGTACAAATTAGACAGATAGAATATTTGAAAACACTTGCAATTTAGGATAAGATTGTGATGCTTTTACTCACATCACTGAAGAATTACTCACATAAGAAATCCCATTGTCTTCAGTTAGTCCAGTGGGTTCTCTCAGACATTCCAGCGCACCCCTTTCAGTCTGAGAGGTTGCACTGGTATGAATGAAAGTAGTACTGAAATCATTTTCTAATCTCTGACTGCTCACACTAATACGCACAACACAACCTTAAATTGTTTTGCCCAACTATGGCAAAATAGGCCAAAATGATCCCTTGTGTAATTCTACTGAAATCAGCGGAGTTAAATTTGGCCCGGTGCATCAAAAACAGTCTTTGCTTCGGCATGTTTTCCCATTCCTTTTTGTATTTAAAGATTCCCCCCTCCCTAAAACCCATCACTAACCAATGGGTTTGGGATGCTATAATACAAGTAAAATATATAGTCACTCCACTGAAAAATTCTGATGACTTCAGTTTTCTACCTAAAATCACTGCGGACAAAAATGTCTCATATTTTACTGATACAGCATCAGTATAAAATAAAATAGAGTTAATTCTTCCTTTAGAATATAATAACTATTTAAATCACTCTGATATTTACTTATTAAAAAATACAGTATCAAACAAAAACCATCCATCTTAAATCATGACTCTCCATTAATATTGAAATTTCTTTTTCCACTTTGCATTATTCAAAACACAATATTTCTTATATCTTTTATTCATAGGAAAGAAAGAACGAGATGCTGTATGTTTCATGTATAGAAAAGAGGGTTTATCATACCGGTCATTGTAAATCCACCAACTAGTAAGCCTATATCTCTTCCACCGACTATAATAGCTTCTCTGCGATCTCCATCGCTGCCACTATTTTTGGTTTTCCAGGCAGCCCATATTCCAACAAGCAGGATTGCCAGATAGAATACAATTATAGCAACCAGCCCCTCCACATGGAAAGGCATGTCGAAATCACGACTGTTCCCTGGATTGCTAATTCATTAAGATGTCTGGAGAGAATGCAATAATATATTATACATTATACGTTTGATAAAAGTAAACCGAAAAAATCATACATGGCATGAGACCAGTTAGAACCAGAATATAAAAAAACCCCTAAATTGTTCATCAAAGAGAGTCTATAGATTATTTTATTGATAGGTTATTTCAGATGTAATCAGTAGTAATATAAGTCATGTTTAAAACAATTCAGGTTAAACCACTACTTAAGAAACTTCTGACAAATCCTTGAAATGAAAGCCAAATAGACACTTAATTTTTTAAAGTTTGTTTTAAGAATAGAAAACAATCATTACATGAATTAAACAAAACAATCTTGCTAAAAATTAGGGTCTTGCAACAAATCACTTATTTTAATCTGAATTCTAATTATTTTATGTACTCCTTGGTACAGTAGAACTCTCTGCTCAAGAAGTACTTTGGCTTACTGCCTCCAGAATAGAAGATATTATTAATATCAGCAAGAAGTACTTTGGCTTACTGTCTCCAGAATAGAAGATATTATTAATATCAGCTGTTAATTTTTACAAATGATCATTAATGAGTTAAAATCCACGCAACAAAATTATATTAATGAACATCTAAAGCTGTGGACAAATAATAGCCATACTAGAAAACTTGAATCTTGAAATCTCCACACTTTCCCTCCCCACATTTGCTTCCCCCTTTCATCTCCTGTACTTATACACCTGTATGTACCTGCTTTTGCACATCTGGATTTGCTTTTTGATATGAAAAATTTCTCACACACTACAAGAATTTTTTCAATTTTGTCATTCATTTTATAAATAAAAAAATTATAAACTGAATGGCATTTTACAAAAGTCACAGCAGTACATCATGGCAAATAGAAGACAGGTGTAATTGAAATAATCTTAGATACATAAGTTCTAGACAATGCTATTAAGTTATATGGCTATTCAATACACCTTTGTCCTCTTTTCTCGCAGTTTCTTTGCACCCAGTTTCTCAGTTAAACAAAGAAATAAACTCTGTGTTTTTATGTACTAGTTATTGATACCAAATATGCCATCTTTATAGCAATGATACTACAGATCTCTACATAACAGAAAGTATTTGTTTGCCTACAAGTGAAGTTTAACTATTCCCCTAGGAATTGCCAATACTACTGTCATCTAGGCAGAGAGTAGCAAATTCTTCCAATCCCCCCTCCTCTCACAATCCAAAACCTTTGATACACAGAACTGATTCAAACAAGGCAGGCAGCCTGTAGTTTCTGAGTTCACAAAGGCAAACCCTGAGCTTGCCTTCTAGCTACAGGAGCAAGTTAGAGTTATTGCTCCCATTCAGAAAAAATAGGATCCAGACACACACAGTTCCCTGCATCTTCAGCATCACTCAGCCAAAGCTTTTCCCTCCCCAGTGTCACTAATCCCATCCTTGATCCAATTCACCTCTTTTGTGGCAGGGTCTCCTCTTTCCCCTTCTTTCTGTGCTCTCTGTCTCCCCTGTCTCATGCACTGGAATCAAGCAGTCAGATCCCAATGCCTTTTGTCCACCCACAGAGGTAGATTGTGAGAAGCAGCGTTCTCCTTTTTTAAAGGGACAGTTACATTTCAAAGAGCTCCAGCCCCACAGGAGCATCACATTGACTAGAGCGAATGTACGTTGTGTCCCCGTACAACACGGCACACTACTGACGCAAAGGCAGTCACGCGCTGCGCCAACTAGGAGGCTCACTGTTCCCCTTTTCAGTGTGGGGAGTGTGTGTGTGTGTCACAGATGGGGGGGACATCAGAGTGCAAGGGGGGACTGGGTAAAGAGATGACTCAGAGGAGAATAACTATCTGAGCCATGACAGAGGGAGGGAATGAGGAGATGGGAAAAGGGGGAGGGAGAAAAAAAATGAAATAAAGAGTCAGAAAGGGGCAGGGAATAAGGAGAAGGAGCTAAAAAATATTGGGGATGAGAAAAGGTGAAGGGGAGCGAATGCGGGAAGGGAACCAGAGAAAGAAGGTGCTGATTAAACTGCATGTGCCGGGCAAAAGGAACAAGGGCAGAGTATTAGGTGGGAAGGCAGGGAAGGATGAATGAGAGACACAGGGAGAAGGTTTGATGAATTAGTGAGTGCACAAGTGGTATAATAAAAAAGTTCAAAATCCAGAATATATATTAGGGAGATAATAGAGAGATGTATAAATAGTGAAAGAGCTGAAGAATGTGTCATACATTTTAGTTATCCTGTAGTCCCAGGATCAGCCATGTGGAGTCTGGAAAGTCCTCCTGATAACACAGCACGTGATCAGCCATTCAGTAGGCATGCAGCATCCTCAGCTGCACTGCAGCTACCCTGGCACTGTTCCTGAGACCCTGACTGAGGTTCTTTGCCACACACCTCCCCATTCTGCATCTGCTTGAGCTTGCACTAGAGAGAGAGTGGCTGCTTGAAGCCTGGCAATCTCTCCTCAAGCTGGGTGATGAGGAAGGAATTTCTTACATATGAATCAGTTCATTACTATTCTGCTCACCACAGCATGGCAGCATCTACCACAGATCTGGTCAGTCACATAGTCCAGACTGGTCTTCTACTGATGAGTCAGTGGCATGGCACTTCATGCATATCTTTTGAAAACTGGCAGTTCTGGCATCTCCTGGAATTTGTCAAGGAGATTCTTAGCCGCGATATAATGCCTGATGTTAGGAAGAGAGAAATGCGTTAGGACTGGTAGCCAAGAGTGTTTGTTGGTCTCGTCATCTCTGTTATTCTCATCATTAGACTCAGTTGTACATCAACTAACTTTATATCGTAAGAGGTTAACTACGCAGGCTACGTCTAGATTGGCATGATTTTCCGCAAATGCTTTTAACGGAAAAGGTTTCCATTAAAAGCGTTTGTGGAAAAGAGCATCTAGATTGGCACGGACGCTTTTCCACAAAAGCACTTTTTGCGGAAAAGTGTCCTTGCCAATCTAGATGCGCTTTTGCACAAAAAAGCCATTTTCGCGATCAGGGCTTTTTTGCGCAAAACAAATCTCAGCTGTCTACACTAGCCCTTTTGCGCAAAAGCTTTGCGCAAAAGAGACTTTTGCCCGAACAGGAGCAGCATAGTATTTCCGCAAGAAGCACTGATTTCTTACAGTAGGAAGTCAGTGTTCTTGCGGAAATTCAAGAGGCCAGTGTAGATAGCTGGCAAGTTTTTCTAGACACAGTCTAGACACAGCCTGCAGTGTTTTCCATTTAAGTATCAGAGAGCTACTCCTGAGTTGTGCTGTGTTTGTATGTTAGCTCCTCAAGTTTAGCCCACAGGCTTGTTCAGGAGGCCATTTCTATTCTTTGTCTTTTGGGCCATCTTGGTAAGGTGGTCTTTATAGTTAAGTTTGTGAGTTACGGATACTCCTAGACAAAGCGGCTTTGGACGGGGGCTTTGTTCTCCATTCAAGATTATGTTGAACTGTTGTGAAGTTTTGGTCTGGTTGAGATAGAAACATGACAGCGGTGTTTTTGACTCTGGGCTTAAGTCTCCAATTCTTGCAACCACAATAGATGGCTGACATGACAAGTTCAAGTCACCCTGATTTTTTTTTTAAAATCTCTGTCTCCTGAAGCTAGACAGATGTCATTTGTGTACCTAAATTTCCTTGAAATTGTTAGAGGCCGATGTCCTGTAAATATATTTTAAAATGTTTGAGCAAGAACATATCCCTAACAGATTCAATTCTGCTGGGATTTCCAAATGCTCAATTTTTTTTTGGCCTAGTATACATTGGAATTGTCTGTCTCAAAGCATCATTTCTGAAGCCATAACAACACATGGATGTAACCTCACTGACATCTTGATCAGCAGAGCTGCATGCAAGGTGGTGTGATATGCTCCCATCAAGAAACACAGTCCACATCTTCTCTTTCTGTTGGAAACTGTTTTCTTGGTCAGAGCAAGGACTTAGAAGTGTGAAGGCTGACCCTTCCCACAGCTCCCTGTGATTGGAAATGGTGAAGCAGAGCCAGTGGGAGTTGTGTGTCTCCATGGCCATGCAACTTTTCCAAAATGGGCCCGCAGAACACTTTGAGAAACACAACCTTAGCTCATGGAGTCCTATGAATTCATTAGAACCTCAGCTTTATTTTAAAAGTTTCTAGCCCTCATGCTGATAAATAAAACTGCAATGCTGAAACTCCAAAAAGCAATTGGAGAGAACCCCAAAACAGTTACTAAACATTTCATGATCTTAAGCAGATCTTGTGGTTTTCATTAATGTCTGGCATTGTCAGGGGATCTGGAATAAGACCCTTCTGTAGCCATGGCAGGGTAACACTGCAGGAAGTGGGAATTCATCGTTGCTCCTTAATGGAAGAAATATACAAAAATGATGCTACCAATGAAATGAAGAACTCCGTTTTCTTGCATATTGAGATATTTTGTCTTTTTTTAAAAGTCATGTTCTTAAAGGAACAATGTAACTGTCCTCAGCATGGATTTGACATAAAATTATGGTGTGTTTGGAATTAGTTTAAATAGAAAGGATGGGTTAATTACAGCCTTTCCCCCCAACTCTTTAAGAAAAAGGAAACAAAGAGTGGTCAAAGTACAGCAAAGAAAATTCTCAAAATCTTACTCAAAAGGTTTTCTTGGCCAAATATTGAAATTAAAAAATATTCAACCAGCCCAAAAGACAAAATTCCTCTTTTTTTTGGTGCAGATGCCACTCAAGACAAGCTGCTTTTTAAGCCAAACTTTGGTCTACTGCCTCCTTCCTCAGAGGCAGGGGTAAGCAAACTTTTTGGCCCAAGAGCCACAGCACAGTATGGAAATAGTATGGAGAGCTCATGAAATTGGCACTGGGGTGCAGGAGTGGGTCAAGGCTCTGGCTGGGGATGCAGGCTTTGGGGTGGGGCCAGAAATGAGGAGTTCAGGGCATGGGAGGGGAAACGAGGGATTCAGAGGGCAAGAGGGGGCTCCAAAGTGGGGTGAGAGTTGGCATGCAGGGAGTGTGTGAGAGCTTTGGCTGGGGGTGAGGGTGGTAGGGCGGGGCTGTGGATGAGTGGCTTGGGGATAGGGAGTGCTCTGTGCAGAGACCAAAGGGTTTGGAGAGTAGGAGGGGGGATCAGGACTGTGGAAGGGGGTTGGTGAGTGGGGGGTGCAGGGTTTGTGTGACACTTACCTCAGCCATCTCCTGGAAACAGTGGCATGTCCCCCCTTCTGGCTGGCTCCAATGTGGAGGCACAACCAGGTGGCTCCGTGTGGTGCTTCTCCCCCATCTGCAGGCACCCCCAGCCAATGGGAGTTGTGGGGTGGTGCTTGTGGTGGGGGCAGTGCATGAAGCCCTCTGGCTGTCCCTACACATAGCAGCTGGTCAGAAGAGAGACATGCCACTGCTTCCAATGGGAGTCCAAGTGCTAGATTAAAACAGTTTACAGGCCAAATGGGCCTTATGGGCTATAGTTTGCCCCCTCCGCTTATAGGCCTAGGCAGCAGATTTGGCTTGAAATTCCCCTCCATGGGTGATGGGGGGAGGGTGGGCTATTCTCAGTGCCATTCAGATTTGGCCCAGCTGACCCTCCATCCTGAGCTAGAGCTAGAGTGGCATCTGCTCAGGTAAATCCTGGCATCCAATGAACATTCACAAATCCAGGCAGGGCTCCACTGAAGTCAATGACAAAATGCCTGGATTTCAGCTTAACCTGCATTTCACCCCTAAAGTTCAAGGTTAAACAAGCCAGTTTTTTTTCAAGTTATAGCATTGGGGGGAAATTATTTCTTCTCATTCCTGAACATTTCCTAACTAATTGTGACAATTTGAAACTCAGAAATAGACTAACACCTTCATAATTATTTATCTCTGATGAAAACTAGTGGACAGGTCCACATTGTACCTGTGCCTAATTCTTTACTTAGTTATTTCCCCATAAACATGTTAAATTATGTATTTTTCTATAAGGAGTTAATCAGATTGGTAGGTTCATTGAGCTCTGATATGGGATTGGATCCCCAGGCTCCCTTTGCTGCTTCTAAGTGGTCTCACTCCACTGCCTGAGAAGAGACTGTGGTTGCAGTTTTATCCTGGATTAGATCCATACAAACCAGCAGCATTAACTATTTAGTGTCCCTTTTCCAAAAATACTCAGCAGCACAAGAACTCGGATGTTGGATTTACAGTTGGTATCCCAACACATTCCTTTTGTACCCTCCAAACTCTATTGGCTAGCGGTTCCAGGCAGGATCAGTGTAGCATAGGAGCACCCAAGAACATTCATTACTCATAACTGCACCTGGAACAATGAGGTTTATATTATTGCATGCAAAAGAAACTATTTTAAAAGAGCACTATTTAGGTTGCAAAGTCAAGCTCTTAAAAGTGAGGGTGTTCCATAATCAAGTCTGCCATTGCAACCTTAATTCAGCCTCCATATGCATTACGAGGTAATTACATGCCCACATATTATTTTTTCCCACTGTTCAGGGATTAATCAGTGTCCTGAAGCAGGCTGTATAGGTCCTTTGTCTTATTTGTGGCAGGAATTGGATGGTGTGTA